ATGATATTGTTTTGGATCTCCTTTTCTTTCGAGTTGCCCTCAGCGTAGCAATTTCTGATGTTTTAAAACGTTTGTTTTATGCACGTTCGCTTCAGCTTAATCCTCGAAAGAATTTTCTTATCAGTCTGCGGAAGATTTTCGTAACGTGATTTTCTAGTGTGGACGATGACAAGATTATCATAAAGAAAATGACCAATGATCCTTAGAGTTAAAACGAAATGGGTGGGTTCAGTTCATTAAGGCTTGAGTTCAGTTTGGCTCGTTTGATAATCGAGGAGATATAAGTCATTTAAATCTTATTAAGTTAAAAAGTTGGGAGGGCTTTTTAAGGCTTGCCTCTATCAAGTATAGAGATTTCGACAAAAATTCATGCACTCTTAGATAGCCCTCTCAAGGATAGACATTTCTACGTAAACCATGGAATAGAGATTTCTACATAAATTTATGCACTTTTAGAGCATCTCCAATAGAGATGTGAGTTATCTAATACTTATTAAGATCTAAATTTGACGTCGCCTAAGAATAAATGTGAATACTCTTCAATGCTAATTTGTCATTTAGAGCATCTCCAATAGAGATGTGAGTTATCTAATACTTATTAAGATCTAAATTTGACGTCGCCTAAGAATAAATGTGAATACTCTTCAATGCTAATTTGTCATTCTTTCGTATAATTTGTATTAATAAATTAGTTAATAAATAAATGGGTAAATCATTTTTTTTTTTTTTTTCAATTTGTACTATATGTATTTTTGAGATTTAATGCAACAAAAACTTCATGAGAATTCATAATTTGCATACTCGCTTATATCTTGACCATACACGTGCCCATTTATACGAATGATTGTATGGTCAATAACTAGGGGAGGGCAAATTATGAATGTTCATGGATTTCAAGTTGCGTTTTACACAAAAAATATTATAGGTTGCAAATACCAAAAGGACTTATAATATAGATCGGAACCAATATCTTACCCTGAATCAATACATAATTTGAAACTCCAAAACTTGTCATCTTCACAGAACTTTTTTTTTTCCTGACCGATCCTGAATAAAACTTTGTTCTTTTATTTATTCGTTTATATATCCATAATTAACTTAAAATGTATTGAACTTAAATGGCAGGCTCCCAGGTTTCGAAAAAATAATTTGCATAAATCTGTATTTTGTATTGACACATGTGCAAGTTGGTTTTAACACCAAGGCTATGGAATTACCATATATAAATCTATTTTCTCTCTTTTTTTTTCAAATAATTTACCGCATATTAATTTTGTATTTCTTAAATTGCAATATATTACTCTTTTTCAGTTCATATGTTAATTATTTATAAATATGTATTCTTCTTATTTATAACAATTTAAGAAAAAATATTAATGTACTTATTTTTTCATATATGATATATTAAAGTAATCATTTTTACAACTTTTTATTTGACATTCTACTATATGAAATACTTTCATTTATCTTTATAAGTAAAATTTAAATTTATTTATGAAATCGATTTGAGAATTGTCAAATAAAATTTTAAAATAGTATGCACAATTAAAAAAAAAAAAAAACTATTAGTATACCACAAAACAATCATTTTAGTGAGTTGTAGGTAATAAATTTTTAGATATATACAATTTTATAAATATAATTAAAAATTATTATTATTGATAATTTAAGTGTGAAACACGGGTTTCACTAAATAGTATCACTTTGTTGGTGTGTTTTATTATGTATTATATTATACATTTATTGATTATAATTTAACACTAAGGATGAATTATTTTACTTCTTTTTTTGTGGTAAAAATATCATTTTTTTTAAATACTCGTGTAGTATATGTGTATCGTACTAGTATGTGTTTATATTGTATCGAGTTTTAGCAAAAGTTATCGATGTGTACCAAACCCTATAGATATAGATGTGCATTGTCAAGTTGTTGAGATATTTTACATGCCATATCTCACATCCATATTAATTGATTACATTGAAGAAATCTGTCACAAAGTTTATTTATGAAAGATTTATTTTTGACAATAAGTTCAAAAAAAATATATTAAAAATATGTTCTTGCAAGCATAAAAATAAAAAAGGGAAGAGAACTTTTATTTGTATTTATATTTATTCGGATTATATATATGTATTGGAATTGCATGATCTTATTATGGTTATATTTTGTAGTATATCAACTTGCATGGCTTGATAGAAAGGGACGATATGAATAGTAATGAGATATTCACTTTTCATGATGAAATCTGCAGCTTTGGTAAGGAAATTGCGTTGGAAGGAAAGAACTTGGAGAAGAAGCACACGCCTAAGGATGCTATATAAACCTTACTTGAAGATCAATTGAAGAATGTTGAAGTTCCCATTATTCATTGCATTCAAGCTTCATTTTGATTTCAAGTTTTGAGTTAGTTTTGTACATTTTATTCCAATACTTTTGTGATTTGTATTTAGGAATTAAGTATTGTCTGCATTCAAGCTTCATTTTGATTTCAAGTTTTGAGTTAGTTTTATTCATTTTATTCCAATACTTTTGTGATTTGTATTTAGAGATTAAGTATTGTCTTTTGCTCAAGGGAATCGAGAGTGTTAAGTCCATGGGAAGTGGTCAGAGAATTAGTTGGTAGATTTGAGTCTAGTTGTGGCTAGACTGAAAGGAAGTTGTGCAGAATTGAGTTATCAATGAAAGAACTATGAGGGTTTTTATAATTGAGTTATTAATGATTTGAGTCTAGTTTTTATAATGAAAGAACTATGAGGGTTATTAATTGAGTTATCAATTAAAAAAAAAATGACATTATGAATCTGAGTTATTAATTGAGTTATAACAGTTAGTTAGTTAATAATATTTATTTAATTCAAATTCATAATGTCATTTTTTTTTGTTACGTGGACCTTCCGGTTTTCGGATCTACAGAAGAATCGACTAATCCGGAATCGAGCCGGGTAGGACCACAAGGGCGGCAAAGCTCTCCCTCAAGAATTTTTAACACTGCTGCATTCTCAGGACTCGAACACGAGACCACTGATTAAACTGAAAGAGACCCAAACCATCTCATCCATGCACCGTTGAGTTTAATTTTTTTTTTTTTTTTAATTGACCACAACTTTTTAGCATTTTTATAATTTATAAAGGGAAAAATCTTTTTCACCCCATAACAAAGACACATTAAATTTTTCACACCGCCCAATAAAAAAGTTAAGTTTTTCACCTCAGAAAGTGCGAAGGTTATGCGAAAACCGTCGCATATTCATCGCATAACTGTCCATATGCGAAGGTTATTCGAAAAACTGTCGTATAACTGTCGCATATTCATCGCACAATGCCTTCGCACAATTATGCAATTGATATGC